ATCAGAAAGATAAAGAATATACACGATCACAAAAATCAGTAAATGAATATACAAAAATTCCCACAATATACTTAATATATACCAAGTAAAATTTTTGCATTTGCTTAACCATGTACTGAATATACACCTGAAAGAAATAAACATATCAGTTAATGAACATATAAAATTGCTCCAATGAAAAATATATACATATCATAAACTATTAGCATACCCAGATATTGGTTAATGAACATAAACATTTTGCACCAAAAAAATCCCATGACACAAAAAACATGTCACATATACATTACATATACTGATTATATACAACCTAGTGTTGTTGATCAATAACAGCTTTGAAACTATTTAATACAAAATGAATTATATACATACAATATACTTAACATATACATATTAAAATCTTTGTCGGTGTTGTTTGACTTTCGTACTCGAAATCGGGTTCTTCTTCGTCCATATCTTTGTCGGTGGGTTTGGGTTTCTCCCATTTACGGGGTCTCCGAATATTTCTCATTGGATTTGGGTAGGATTAGAAATCGTATGAATGGGCAGATGAACTACGATTTAGCACTCTACCCTCACCGACGGACTTGCGATTAGAGTTAAGGTTCATGTATATTTCGAAATTTAACTTCTTCTGAACGATTTTGGGTTGTGCTTTTGATTGGATTTTACGAAACCGAGAACTCGACCTAATTTGTAGTGTCTTGTCGGCACCATTCGTCGGTTTTTTTAGTAGCAATTTGTAGTTTTTTCTTGGCCATTGAAGATGATTCTTTTGCACAGAGAGGGGGACGTTGGTGGTGGGTGCTTTCTGAAGAGAGAGAGAGATCATAGAAGATAGATAGATATTAATTTTTCCGTCCTTTTTGGTAAGTGAATATTTGATTTCACTTCTTATCCCAATTGCATTTAAATAGGCATGATAATTGTTTAGAAACAGTTACCTCTGCATAATTCAACATCTTAGGCATAAGTGCAATATTTTGTGCTTGTTTCAGTAAGTTTATACATTAAAAATTAATTGGTGCATAAGTGTAATATATATCATAACTTATTGTAAGGGGTGTAATTTCCTCTTTATTGTGTGCTAAAAAAACATTTGGGCATCTACTGTATAGACTTTTTTTTAGATGGGCCTATCTTCATAACCTGCCTGAAAGGA